AAAAAAAAACTTAAATAAAAACTTAATATAAAAACTTATAACAACTATGTACTTATCCATTAACTACATATGTACAACTAACAACATCAGTCGTTACCTTTATGAACTCCGCCAATGAGCAACAGAAAATATCAACCTTTTGTCCAACTCTGTTAATTATTTTAATAGCTCTAGCCACAGGAGCATATCGACCTATGTTAGTGCGACTGGTTGGGACCTCAAATAGTCTCTGCCTCGGGCTCAGCCTTAGCTTTGTATTTGGGACGAGCAACCTCAACGAAGCCAGTATGGATGGATTGTTCTGCTTACCCCGGAAAACCTCAAACACGTACTTTGCGAGTGCAACCTCTCGCCTGACCTCCAGCTTATAGTATCCCACCATGCCAATAACAAACAGAGAAGGATACATGAGTGGGTAATACGGGTACACTCCATATTGTTTTAGGTACAGGTACCGAGTAAACTTGTTTTGCATCTTCTCCACCATGAGGCTGTATTTCATCTCATGGGGGTTCCAGATTATAGCACTCGTCTCTAATTGACTCCTAACCAAAGCATTGTATAATATTTTTATTGTTGCTATACTTTTAAAATCCTTTGTCTCTCTCATTACAAAACCCAAACTTCTGTAAGCTTTAGAGCAAACCTTCGCGATATGCTCCCTGAATGACAAATCTTTGGTCATAAGCACTCCCAAATCCCGGACCGATTCAACACGAGGCATGACACTGTCTTCCATGTGGTATCGATGATGCACCGGAGACATGGCACGCGTGCAAGACATTATATTGCACTTGTTGACATTGAAGAAGAGTTTGTTTTTCCGACTCCAATCAATTACCAGATCAATGTCATTTTGTAGGCGCTTACAATCCTCTTTATCGACCACACGTAGAAAAAGCTTTAAGTCATCAGCAAAGAGCAAACAACACGCATTCTGGACCACCTCTGGTAGATCATTAATCATTAGAATAAATTCTAATGGCCCAAGGTTGCTACCCTGGCTTACACCAGATAGCGTGCGATATTGGTCTGATACATGTCCACAGTAGTCGACGTATTGCCTTCGGTTCCCGAGATAACTCGCAAAAAACTGGAGTAAATCTGGCGTGAACCCTGCCATCGCAAATTTGGTTAACAGTATGTCATTATTAACGCTGTCAAAGGCCTTTTTGAAGTCAAAATAGGCAATATCCAGTTGGGCACCAGCCTCCGAGTCGAGGGCTTGTGTAGCATAATTCATAAAACACATGAGGTTAGAGCTAGTACCACGACCCCCACGAAATCCATGCTGCTCATCACAGAAATGTGCACTCACTTGTGAAGTTATACTTGCAGATAACGCGGACTCAAAAACCTTTGCAAACGTAGACAATACTGCAACAGGCCGGTATCCACTCACATCCGAACTAGGAGCCCCTTTGGGAACCGGAGTCACCCTCGTCAATTTCCATCCATCAGGGTAAACATTTTCTTTTAAACAAAGATTAAATAAGTGTCCCAGTGGGCGAGCTAGCAATTGCCGGCAGTCTTTTACAATAAATGGAGGGATCCCATCCGGACCTACCGACCGCTTCGGCTCAAGACGAAGAAGGGCAGCTCGAACTTCTCTAGGGGATAGCTGACCCACGTGCACGCGCGCACCACGTTCCGGTGCCGAAAGCACCGCCGCGGATGGGTCCAGTCTTGGCTCTTCCTCCCCGTAAACGGAACTAAAATAGTTCGCGAACTCTTGAGCACACTCGTACCCTGACAAAGATATGCCGTTCCTGATAATACATGTTTTGCTACGCCTTGAGCGCTTCTCTCCAATAAAACTCCAAAATGACTTAGGTTCCTTAGCAAATTGTGACTCCACACGATTCCGATAATTGTCGTAAGTTACAGAAATAGTGCTTTTGACCAAAGAACGATAATGAGAAAACATTGCATAAAAATATGGCGACCCACCTTTCTTAAACTTTTTGTGTGATGGAAGATTTGCCTCGCCCTGGTAGGCCGTCAACGTCTGCAACTGAAGTTAACATCACAAAAGTGAAGGAAATAGTGACTGAAAATCCCCATTCAACTCTGAGAGAGATAGCCGCCGAACTTTCTGTATTTCACGAGTCGATCTGTACCATTTTAACTAATCATTTGGGCATGAAACATGTTGCTGCTCGGCTAGTTCCAAAAGATCTGAATTTTCTCCAAAATCTCAATCGCATGAAAGTCGCTGAGGACATGCTAGAACGAGTCAGTTCGGACCCAAAATTCATGAAACCCTTTGTTACTGTTGAGGAAACGTGGGTTTACGAGTTTGACATTCAAACTAGTCAACAAGCTTCGGAGGGACGCCTTCCAACTGAACCGAAACCGAAAAAACTACGTCCAAGTCGATAAAAAGTCAAAGTCATGTTGGAAATTCTTGGATTTGTGCACCACAACAATGCGCCTTCACACAAGGCTATCATTGTGAACGAATTTTTGACCAAACACTCAACAAATATGACTATCAACAGATACGGCTCCTGCTACCTTTTTTCATTTTCCTTAACTGCAATTACCACTTCGTGGCACTACCGATTGAAAACGTCAATCGATAGAAGACATAAAGGAGACTTCGCGGCGAGAACTGAACTCAATACCGGAAGCAGCGTTTAAAAAATGTTTTGATGAATGGATTATTATTGATTGGCGCAAGTGTATCGTTTCTAAAGGAGCATACTTTGAAGGTGATAAAATAAATTTGGATGAATAACAGACATTTTGTGTATTTTTTTTTATGGCATAAGCCGGTAAACGAGCACACGGATAACCTGATGGTAAGCAATCGGCGTCGCCCATGGACACCTGGAACACCAGAGGCGTTACAAGTGCGTCACCGGCTTTTTGGGGATTAGGAGTTTGAGGATCGTTGGCGATTCAGGGATTGGGGAGATTGGGGAAGGGGAAGGTAATTGGGCCTCCGGTAACCTCACTCACACGACGAAACACAACGCAATTCTATTATCGATGTTTTCCCGGTACTTTCTTGACAGAGGTAGGAGACATGGTCACTGCATGGGTGCCCATTGAAAATCAGTTCTGGGTGACTTGTATGCCTGGCTTAAACTGAGTGGGTGACCCATTTAGCATAGGCATGTTGTCAGCATCTCTCTTCTAATTCTTCTGTTTGAATTTTTCAACTCAATGTTTTTATTACTTCCACTGTCACACATTTATTGTCTTTTTTATATTTTATTTATGCTGCATCGTGCCTGATACTGAATAAATGTTTTTTCTTTCTTCCTTTCTTCTTACATGGTTCTCATATCTGAAAACAACACGCCACCATTATGCTGGCAACTGGGTCGAGTTCTGCGACTGATTCCTGGTCTAGACGAAATGTCAAGGGTTGGAAATATCCAAACAACGGCGTTCTCTAACTCGTCTTTGCCCTCTACCCAACGCTGAGGAACTTCAGGATCGTTGAAAGGATTCTTTCAACGGGCGGGATGATGTTGCGGCGCCTAGCGCCTTTCCAATAGCAAACCACAACTACATGTATGATTGCCAGTTTAACAATCAGGCGTCGCGGAGCATGTTAAAGGTGCTAAGGCCATTCAATCTCTTAGCGTCCGCTCCACTGGTAACACACTATTTTAATTACATAGTTTTTATTGTGTACCTCAGTGCCGGATTTATATTTTATATGAGCTTTTTTCCGCTGCTATATACCTACTTATCGTTCTAGTTTACTGTATTAAGAATGCCTTATAGTTATATAAACAAACGTATTTGGTACTTGACAATTTCCGGGAAAATATTGTAGTTTATATTTTTATTAAAAGCGCGCTCACGCTTTAACGGTCGGTCACGTGACCTCTCCGAGCTATGACGTCATATTCTAATAAACAAACAAAGCGATTTCTCATATGGTTGAGTAGAAACAACATTTGACACAGATATATCAAATAATTGTAAAAATGGCAAGCTACAAAACGTGTGCCATGTCTATGTGTAAAAGGACGACGATTTAAAAATCGATGAGAGCTCCACTCCTCTCATCTATCACACACTGGTTTCAATAGATATGAGTTTCTATAGGGCTTTATTTAAACTAGAAAAAGCCATGATAAAACCAAGGAACGTGTTTGACTTTTATCGTCTGAAGTCGAGTGACCGTCTTCTGAAATCTACCGTGCCTAAGACGCTGCCATTCCTAGGCCGCGGCCTATACGGCCTATTCATAAATACAGCACTGGTGTACCTAAATATACAAAACAAGTTGACGTACTTGAACTTGTGAACTGTAATTTTAATTAGTTTTAAATTAACCGATGAGCTCACAGGGTAAAGAAATAGTTCTTGTGCCTATTTATTACTATAGATAGGCACAAGAATTATCCAACTAACTAACTAGTCTACTGACTAGCTACTTCCGCGCGGTTTTACACGTTCTACTCAGTTCCTATTGGTCGTAGCGTGATGTTTTATAGGCTATAGCCATCCTCGATAAATGCAATGTCCAATACAAAAATAATTATTCAAATCAGACTTGTACTTACAGAGATTGGCGCCTTCAAACAAACAAAAAAATAAACTCTTAATATCCTAGTTTTAGTCACGCTTTTCATGCATGAGGGTTACCGAAACTTACCAACGGTAAATACCAATGTGACTTCTTCCGAGTTTTGATTTTGTTTTTTGGGAATAGTTAGGAGGCAAACGAGCAGACGGATCACCTGATGATAAGCGATCAGCGCCGCCCATGGACACTCGCAACACCAGAGGAGTCACAGGGTCGTTGCTGGCCTTTTAACTCGTTGAGTACTGTCATTATAGACACAATTATAGAACAATAGGTTGCGGTCACCGGTGTCCTCGCGGTGTTTGACAGTTTAAAAAGGAATACGCTCTTTTCTTGAAGGTTTGAAGGATTCTAAATTATAATAAGTTGTTTGTAGTGTTAGCTCCGTAAACGTCGTTAATGTTGCGTGTCGGTTGAGCAGCCACGACGGTACTCATATTCCATAATCACTCGAATTTTTAACGCCCCCATGATGATGAAAAAATAGATAGAGAAATACAGACTACTTATAAAAACAAATTTGATGTTTTTAAAATAAAATTAATTAGCATATCTAAACAAAAAAAATTTTGATTCGTATCTCTTTTTTTATGCCATAAGCCGGTAAACGAGCACACGGATCACCTGATGGTAAGCAATCGGCGTCGCCCATGGACACCTGGAACACCAGAGGCGTTACAAGTGCGTTTCCGGCGTTCTGAGGATTAGGAGTTTGAGGATCGTTGTGGATTCAGGGATTGGGGAGATTGGGGAAGGGGAGGATAATTGGGCCTCCGGTAACCTTACTCACACGACGTAACACAACGCAAGCGTTGCTTCACGTCGGTTTTCTGCTCGGCCGTGATATCACTCCGGTCGAGCCGGCCAATTCGTGCCGAAGCATGGCTCTCCCACACTTAAACTTAAACACCTTAAAATAATACAGGTTGGTGGTAGGTCAAAATCTACCTAAATTTCCTCACATTGTATGCATATTATTGCGTCTTTCGTAGTCTTTTGAATATCAATATTGCCTTATAGTAACGTCATCAATTTTAATCTATTTGTACTGAAAAAAAATAAATAAACAAAGACATAGGAATTGTTTTAACAATTAAAATCTTAATGAGGGACTGGGTTTAAAAAAAAATCTCAATAGTAGTATAATAGTAGAAACAGAGTCTGGAATTATTTTATTTATTTGGGAAAATTATGTCCGGTATATGGCCATAGGCTCACTCCCTATTACATGGGACTCATAACATAAATAGTGAAAAGTGGGTGTTACATTGTACAGTGGCATTAAACTGTCAAACACCGCGAGGACACCGGTGACCGCAACCTATTGTTCTTTAATTGTATCTATAATGACTGTACTCAAAGGGTTAAGTGCACCTCTGTCTAGCCCTTCGGGGATAAAAGGCGTGATGTTATGTTATATTATGTTAAATTTTTAATTGACCTGTATATATTACTATGTTAGTAGGCTCAAACATCTGTTTATGGTTCACAGCTGATCTATTTAACCCAGTGCCCCTTTAAAGGCGCTGACGATAGCTACTAGTTGTTCAAGTAAAGTAAAAATTCTATACTCCCTATTTAATCTCTGCAAAAGTTTAAGTGTGGGAGATGCATGCTTCGGCACTAATGGGTCGACTCGACCGGAGTGATACCCCGAGCAGAAAACCGACGTGAAACAACATTCTCGTTGTGTTTTGTCGGATCACTCACACAGTTACCGGACGCCCAATTATCCCCCTCTACTCCGCTATCTTCCTGATCCCTGAATCATCAACAATCCACAAATTCCTAATCCCGCAAAGGCCGGTAACACGCTTGTAAAGCCTCTGGTGTTACGGGTGTCTATGGGCGACGCCGATTGCTTACCATCAGGTTATCTGTCGGCTCGTTTACCGGGTTATCAGGACTTATGAAGGTTTTCTTTACTGTTTAAAAAATAAACCTTTAACGAAATAAAAAGTGGCCCTCTCCCTATTATATGGGCTTCATAACATGAATAGTGAAAAGTGAATGTTATATAATCATTGTACCTATATCTGTGACATTATGTAATGAAATCTTCGCTTCGTTCGTACCAGCGACTATTGTTTAATAGGTAGGTACGTAGGTAATAATTTTTCCTTATTCAGAGATCGTAATAAATGCAAGGTTAGAAAATTGCATCATAATGCTTAACTGTTAAGTTTTGCAGTCGTATGATGACGATCGAGTTAATCTGAACCTTTCAAACTGCCATTTATAGCGTGAAGATTATAGCAAATCCTAAGAATGTAGAGGAAGGCTGAGTCTAGTAGTGGACGGCCAGAATGTGACACAAATGATGCTTATTTCATATGTGACTAGCTTCTGCCCGCGACTTCGTACGCGCAATCCCG